CCAGCTGGGTGAGCAGCGGGAGGGCATAGCCCCCCACACCCAGCACCATCCACCACCCATCTGAAGCACAGCCCATCCCCTGCAGATCCAAGGGCACTCGCCCACTCCCATGCCCTCCTGGGCTGGCGGTGAGAGCTGCCAGAGGAGCCACTGGAAGAGCAGTTCCCAGACCAGTGGCATGCAGTGGCGGAAGCCCCACTTCCCGGCTGGGCAGCTTCTCCCTGCCCCAGCCCCAATCCCTCCCTTGCTTTGGGGGCTGTGATCTGATCTGCCCCACCTCACCCCACACACACCCCTCCCCTCCCCACTCTGCCCACCACAGACTTATCAGCTGGAGGCAGCTGTGTCCAGCATGGAAGAGGACTGCTGCCTGTTTAATCTATGACCTAATCTCCAAATTGATGCCAAATCTTTCCAAATTGAATTGATTCAGAGGCTTCCGAATTGATTTGGACCTTTTAATGGGTCTCCCAATTTGATTTGGAAATTCGGCCACCAAATCGGGCTGAATCTCCTCCAAATAGAAATTGGCTACCAAAGCTTTGCACAGCCCTACTATTTACAGCATGAGTTGGGCTGCACTACTTAAGCCACAATCACTACAAAGGATAAATCTACTGGCATATACACAATCATGCAAACTGCAATACAGCAAACAAAAATCACTTTAAGCTTGAACAACTGCCCATAATTCCCATGCCACTTTTTGCCCAGACTGCCTGAATCGCTTTCTTCCACCCGTGGGACCAGAAGGCAAAGGCAATTTATCAGATGAGTTCCCCCATTTTCAGACAGACACCTCAGTGGATCTGCCTACAATGGCATGTCTCCAGCTCTCCATCCATTGCACTGACCATGAAGGGAGCAGGCCTGGAGGCAGCTTGCCAGTAATCAAACAGCAGCACTTATGTCTAGTTTGAGCTGAGCTAGAAAACCCTCTGGTTAAAATGCCATTGGCCAGCCCAGCCTAGCACCATCACTGCTAGTACAACAATGAGAGCTGTCAGAAGTTTAGAGCCAACAACATTCAAGATCTTGGAGTTCTGCAAAAACAAAATCAGCTCCAAAAACACCTAAGTTCATGGTCATGACCAAAACCACCAATCATGCTTGGTATTCTCATTCCAGTCCCCTGCTTGCCTTCCAATTCCCCCCCCCGTGGAACTGAAGTGCAACTGAATTAAATGAGTCTGAAGGAATTCAACCACCTTATACTAGTTACAGTTAGCTGACAGAACAACTAGAAAATTGCACAAACTGTGTTTTGACAACTCCTTCCTTGCAAGCAGGGACCAACAGATTTCTATCCAACAGGCCACTGAGTACAACATGGCCAAAGAAACCATGAAAGAGAAGCCACTGCTTAGCAACAACCAGAAGAACATTTCCCCAGCAGCTTAGGAAAGCCACTTCCATCTTCACCTTTGCCCACACAATAATCCTCCCCTCCCCCCAGAAAGGGCTAATTATGGTATCAAGTGTGTACCACCCTCACTCCATTTTTACATTCATTCATTAATTTTTTTTTTTTAATTTTTTTTTGAGAGGGGAGTGGGGGGAAAGGGACACAGATTTTTTGGTCAATAAATCTGACAAAACCATTATCCTAGGGGATTAAACAAGGAGATAAGAACTTCAGGGCTTTGCACAAATCATATTAGTTCAATTCTCAAATCCGGGTAATGCTTCTTTTCAAAAGTATTAATTTCATTTATTCTATTTCCTCTCCCGTTATCCTGATAACACTGGCATGCATGGCCCCTACATGAGATCCTCCTATTTTGTAGGTTATAATCCTCCCTTTCTAGAGTGGTAATGAGATGTCTTCCCTTAATCACATTTATTTCCTGCCTCCCCCATCCAATTCCACATTGGATTTGTTTTGAAGATTTTGGTTAAAAGCTCACAAGTCTCAAAGTCACAGCCTCCTACTGAGTGGCTCAGAGTGCATGGTGAACAGCCCCAGGAGACTAAGGAGATGGAGGTTTGGGGGGAAATGCAGCCCGGCTTACAAAAAGTTTCCTTGTTGTCCAAAAAACACAAGGGGAGGAGGGAAGGGGAGGAGACTGTGATTAAAAACAAAGAAGAAAGAAAAAAAGATGCTGAGTGCATGGTGAAGGGGACTATTTGGAACATGTCCAAGGGCCTAAGAACCTGATCAGGAAGACTCCACTACAAGCCCTTTATTCTAAAATAAAGGACTTGAACAAAACATCTATGTTAATTCCTGCCCATTTGACAGAACCTTTCACAGGAAGATCAAAGCCCTTTACAAATGATCATTATCAAGAGCCCTGCTGTAAAGTACAGTACAGTAATACCTCTTGTACTGTCGCTTAATATTTATGGTATTGGATACATTTGAACCTGATGATGGGTATCACAGCCCTGTTGTGCTAGGTGCTGCACACATACACACAGAATTCCTCCACAGCATCTTGCAGACTGTTTCCATCCTAGCTGATTCCATGGAGTGACTCCACATCTCTGCCCCCCTCAAACAGAAGTTTAATAATGCTGTGAACTTCCTGACTGTAGGATTTGTGAAGTTCCAAGTCATATAAATACAGTAACTAAGGCCATTTGTACACGCCACGGGGGTTTACTTCAGTTTAATTCTCTCTAAACTGAAGCAGTGGGTTTTTAAAAACATCACTTCAATTTAGGGCAAAGTAAACTCCTGTGGTGTATACACAAGGGTCTGGCCCAATCCTTACCTGCCTCTCCAGCGGCAGGGACGGCAGCCTGCCAGCAGGCCAAACAATCCCTGAGCCACGGGGGATGGAGGGGGTGTCCCTCCACGGCTACGGCAGCATCCCCAGGCAGCACTTGCCCACAGGCAGTCCCAGGGGGCACCACAGCCACAGAGGGAAGCACCGATCCCCCACAGAGCTCAGGGAAGCAGGCTCTGGGGAGAAAAGAGAAAAATCAGACTCGCCGCTTTTTTGTTTTTTTCTTTAGTGGAGCCTGCCTGCACTGGGCCCAGTGTTTCCCTCCGCAGCTATAAGGTAACAAACTAAAACACGGTTGACATGTTTTATTTTGTTGCATCCCAGAGTCATTTAACGCACATTACGCAGTTGACATGTGTAAACAGCTGCACCACTGAAGTGGTACAAAAGGGCATTAAGCCGCTTTAAAAGCCAATTTTTTGGCATGTACAAATGGCCTGAGGCACCAAAAACTGAGCAACTCGGGCACAGCCACAGAAAGAGGTCAAAACAGAGCTTAGCTAAAGTAGAAATCAGTCTCAACCACAGACTCCTGCTTTTGCCATTAATTCACCTTTCTTGTCACATCCTTCTAAGTTGTAGCACCAAAGTAAACAATGAATTCATTATATCCAAAAGCCTGTAAGAGGTACCTTGCCAAAGGGTTAGCTCATAGCCTACTCTGAGGAGGAAGGTGCATGGTGTAGTAAGAATGAACTGACACTTTGCAGAGATACTAATAATAAAAGTCAACGAATGAAAACCATAAAGAACACAGATTAAAATGTCACATAGCTTTCAGCACAATGCAAATGAAATCATTAAAAATATAGCCATTGAATTCAATTTATTGCCTAAGAGTGGTAAGGTGAAGAAAGACAATTGCCTCAGCAGTGGAAATGCCTGTTCAAAAGAAGAAGTGACCAAACTGCTGTGACGTCAAGGGCATAGGACAGCTCAAGACATGACCACACGTGTAGAGGAAGTAACCTTGCCAGCTATCCATGGCACAACCTTCAACACCTAGAAGATTACGGGTAGTGAAGGCAGATCATTCAGCCACCCCACCTTTCTCTGGATTCAGTACTAACATGGCACAGAACACCTGAAAGTTTGCTCTCCTGGCTTCTGTATGCACGACAATGGGACTCTCAGCTAGAGGCTCGATCTATCACCACCCAGCACACATCATCTCTGCTGTTCTTAACAATTTAGGATGCGAGAGCAAGCACAAGTAAAAACAGCAAAAGGTGGACCATGATCCAGAGTTAGTGCCAAAAAGAACCAAAAATAAGTACTTTTGAAGAAATGGAGTGGGAAGAGTGAAAACAGGAGTCTGGCAAGTCAAGATACTGACAACAGGCAGGAAGAGTTTGAGAAATACTCCAAGCCTTCAAATGCTACATAGGAATTCAGAAATGAGAAGGGGAGACCATCATGTCTAACAAGCAGGAATCGCGCAGTTTGAGAATGCAGTATGGAGACCATCAGGCTTAAAAATGCCTGGATCTGAAAGGAAATAAACATAGTAGAAGTCCCCCAAAATTAAAAGGCCACCGCGCTGAACCTCTGGTTTGAGTAGCCAGCTGCCTGGTCCTAACTGTTGGGAGGACAGATGAAGCTACCCAACAGGTCAGTTCTGTCGCAGATTTATTCGCTATTTCAGCAATAGGCTGAGAGGATTAAACAACAATAAACATTAGCATAGTTTTGGGCCTCAAGTTGTGTATTCACCAGTTATCTTTCAGGGGCTACCCACAAAGCACCTGATCCAACTGCCCTGGTGTTTGCAGACAGTCAGGCACCCAGGAACTGTACATCCAATATTTTAATGGCTACAATCACATTCTGATGGGACAACAGCACTGCATTAAGGGTTGTATCCCAGCTCATTCTAGCCAGGAAATAGACACATTTTCCTGATAGTGCCTGAACACCCCACCACATTCCTCCCAGGCTCCGTAAGACAGGCGGGCTCTCTTCCCAAATACTGGCATCTCTCCATTTGAACACCATTGTCCTCCTGATGGGAATGGTATTAAACACTTCACCTGGCAGCCAAGATGCCCCACTCAGAGAAATAGCTTCCATGTGCTGCAGATACCAATTATCCTTTTTTTGTTGTTGGTAACCTTTCAAGGCACAGAGGAAGTAATGAGTACCACAGACTAGGAACTAGGTTCAGGCTGCTCAATTCATAACACAAGTGGCATTTCATAACTCCTGTGAGAGAGAGAGAGGGTTAGGCCCTCCTTCCACAAGGGAACATATTCTTTGGTTTGTACTTACCAGCTGGGCAGCCCTCTGCCTCTCTTCATTGGTGCTGCTCCTTTCCCGCTGAAGGGCAGTACTCAGGGCCTCACTAGCTGCCTCCCGTTCCCTCTTAGCCAGCCGAAGGAGCTCGTCTTGGACCAGTGCCTGCTCTCGCTCATATCTGCATCAGTGCCAAAGACAGAAGGTGAGCAGCAGACTTCTGGCAACAGGTCACAATCTACCTGGCACAATGCCTGCTTATACTACCACAGCATCAGTTTCTGCAGAACCAGATGATCAGCAAGTTCAATACTAAAAAGCCAAGCTACCATAGGACAAAAAGCACATACATCTATAATCTAGTCAGGTTAGACTCCTTTAAGTATTTGCTAGGCATTCAAAATTGGAAGAATAAAATATTTAATATGCTACATGTTAAGCTGATAATCAAGAGATGAAGGCAGGCCACACACTAAGGAGTTAATCTACCAAGCAGACTTCATTCACTACCAAGTCCATCTGGCTCTGTTGCTTAGCTTTCCCTCCCCACAGCAATGTAGACTAGATGAGATCAGAACAGAGCTGAAGGAAGCGACTTTAGAAATTTCTAAGCCAACACTACATGGAGAAAACTTAGCACCCATACATGATTCCCATTCTGGCCCTAGGAATTCCACATGCACATAACAGGCTAAGGGAGGTACAAGATCAGTAGGTCTCTATACCATGCCCTACTTTCTCTGCAGCACTCACTAGACTATCCTTCCAGAAGCAGCTCCATACATCAGAACTGAAGACTGCCAGCAAGTTGGATTCTCCCCCATCTCTGATAAACAAAAGTGGATTTCCAAAGACTCCCCTAGAGAGGTAAGAGACATGACAGGGGAGTGACACTGTTCCACTATTTTTACAAGTGGTGCCACTGTCAAATGGCCACACTGAGAAAGGACTCATTTTTGGTCATCAAGATTGACCCTGTGTGAAATGCTAGCAAATACTGGGCACAGTAAGGAGAATGCCAGAGGCAGCAAGCAAGAATAGGAGAAAACAGCTAGAGAAACTAGGAAAAAAAAAGCCATGCACAGAAACTTTCATAATAGAGACCCATCCTGCTATGTGGAATCTGGAAGAGTTCCTACTCCTCTCCATTCTTTGGAGAAGCAGCAGATTCCTGGAGTTGCTAGAAAGGCAATTTCACAGAAAGCATCTCATTCTCCCCAGCAGCTTAACATGCTTTGACACCTTGCAAAATTAAAATGCTTCATAGAGGGGGAAAAATACCACAAACAAGCCTTGAAAGGGTCATGTGGGACAGTCGCAAGAAAAAGAAGAAAGAAAAAAAAAACAAAAGAAAGGGGATACCTAGACAGGCATTATTTCAGATCTAACCACAGAGTCTCACTCGGTATAATTCTTCAGAAGTAAGAGATTTGAAACCTGAACCAAATGTTCTTCAAGCACTTCAGGATCAGTGCTATAGGTTTTCACCTATTTTAGGAGGCAGGAGCAGGTATAACCAACTTTAGACAGTACTGAGCACGTGTGTTCTTTCACACAACTTATTGTAGGTCCCAAGTGTTCCTCGTGGTTCTTCTGGTCTTCTATGTTTCTGTGACCACCCTCCAGTTGGTTCTTAGCTCCTTCACCTGCCTTTGCCATAAGTCACATGCTTGCACTACAAGGGTTGTTCCATGACCTCAAATGACACCAAGACCTTACAAAAGACTTACTACACAATTGAAGCACTGAACAGCAAACTTCAGCATTACACACAGCCCAGAAAGAATGTGACAGGACAGGCAGCCATCTTTTGCCAGGAAGAGAACATTTCCTCACCTCCTGTACAGGTCCTCCTCTGCCTCTGAAGGCTTCTGACCAGAGCTTTTCACCGTTGGTGGCTGGACTCCTGGGAAGAGGAATAGAAGCACATGACTACTGTGGAAGAAACCACCAGCTACCATCATGTCATGAGAATGAACACTAATGAAGGAAAAGGAAAACACTTAATAAACAAGCAGACAAGGTTCTTTGGGTAAATCTGATATCTTTTATTAGACCAACCAAACGTCCTTAGACCAACATGGATACAACCTATACCTCTAATAAATAAGCAGTGTTTCAAGAGCATGGTCAGCAGAAGAAACATCTCAAAGGAAACTTGAGAATAAGAATTGGATAGCTAAAAGTTGTGTTCATGAAAAAGTGATTAGCTTCCTGCAGGTAAGGGTATTTAACACACCTTAATCCTGATCCATGCAAACACCCATTTTATTCTAGTCCTACTCTCTACACCTTTTCCCCAGCTCTGACAATGCACTGCTCTTGATCCACTGCCTGTAATTACAGCAGGGGCCCTTCAGGAGCAGAGATCAATTTAAAAAGGTGGTTTGGGATATCCACAAAGACTAACACACTTTTGATCAAGCTTTAGACAACCAAAGGACAGAGTTCTCTGGCTTGGCTCACCATGCCCATATTAGTCTGGATCCCATAGACAAAAACGTTAGGAATTGTGAGGGACTGCTGATGAGAATATCAACACTGTATATCCAGATACCAAAGAAAACAAGTTTCAGCTATCTTAGGTGGAAAAGCCAAAGACCCTTCTCTATAATAAGCCATGACACATGCCATCAAACAGGCAAGTTTTGTCAGTCTCTCTTCCACTCCTGGCAACTTCTGGAATCAGCTCATTACCTTTTCCCTCCACTGAACATGCAGTGCAACATTATGTGCTCACAATATTATCCCTCTGTGTCGAAATGAAACAATACAACCCCACTTCAGTCATTTATGACTAATGTCCTTTTCAGAGTGAATCTGGATAGCTCACAGGGTTAGGATCCTTAGTGCCTTGCAAAGATGAGGGTTTGCAAACCAACCTCACCCCCACAACAGAACAACCAGGGACAATATGCAGCAGCATCAAGCAGCTGTGCAAAACTGCTGCAATGTTCCAGCTGAGTGAAGTGAAGAAGCGCACCCTTACGAGCAAGAGCTGCAGCTGCACATATCATGCCTCACTTACCAACCTGCTGTGAATTAAGGGGTTTGCAAGTCATCAGGATACAAATAATTCAGGTTCTGCTGTCCTCTACACTGCCATACTATGTTTCATCCAAATTGAGGAAGCTGGTATTAATGCTATACTATAGATAGTGAAAGAAAATAAGTTACCTTACTTTTCTTTGCTTTAAATTAATTCAGTGACCCAGTGGCAGAGCCACTTAAATCAAATCAAATCAAATCAAATCAAATCAAATCAAATCAAATCAAATCAAATAAAAACAACCCTCCACCAACAACTAACTCTCCACCCCATCCCTCCTCCCCACCTCCAAAAAGCCATGAAAGACCTCTCAGAACTACAGGAGGCCCGAACTGTGCAGTTGCCCTGATACACAAGTAGAAACATCATAAGCCAAATCAAAACACACTTTGTAAGAACTATGCCCTGAAAAAAAATATATGAAATCCATAAAAGCATCATCTGACTAGTGCTGCTGCTCAGACTAGCTTCAAAACTCTAGGCTCTAGATCTGACACAGACTGGCAATACCTGTAGGAGACTTGGCCTTCTCTTCTGCAGCTTGCGGAGATGTAGTGCCACGGGAAGAGGGAGGAGGAAAGGAAGATGGTCTCTGGTCCCTTGTTGGTTGAGAAGACTCTTTCATTCGATTTACTACATCTTCAGTGAGCTAGCGCAATTATTTGCAGGGAAGAGATTAATGGAATCAGCTCTTAATTTTTACCTTAATACTAAGAGAAGTTCTCAACTGGTTAACTTTTCTTAAACATTGCCACAAAATATCACTAGTTCTGCTACTGAAAAAAACATTAACAATTTTTTAAAAAGTCATTTCAATTTTTACAGGCCAGTTTCACATTTAGAAAATATGAAAACATCACATCAGGAAATTATAAGACCCCAACAACAGCTTGACTGGAAAACAGGAATGGAGAACAGACAACTAGAGGAAACAATCCTGTACTGGTCTCGGACTGGATCTTTAGCTGATGTATCACCATCTCTCACTTCTATAATTGTAAGTAAAACTTCCACAAAACAAAATGGAAGGTGGATGGAGAACATATGTGCCCAACCCTAAATTCATTCCTTTTTTCTGCACCTGGGTACAGATCCTAGAGAAGAAAATGTGCCCCAAATATTGAGACTTCAATTCATGACAGTCTTTCAGAACGCTGCCTGCTCTAATTCTTCTTCCGATACACTGCATGGTTAACAACCTCATGCCAACCACACCATCCTAATGGACAGAGCAAACAGTTGTTTTCCCCCCTGCACAGGCCAGTCCCACAGAGAGATACTTCAGAGCATGAAGCAGAATAGAGTTTGGCTGTGCTGCTCCCACGCAGGGCAGCAGCATTTCAACGTCTCCAGTATTTATTTTGTCAGTTTGGTCTTGGGTCTTCAACTCTCCTCCCTGGTGCTTTGCCGACTATTGCAAAACACATGTACATGTGGCCTGCGTCCTATCAAGGGATCCCAAGGGACACAGCTAGAGGCATATAACACATACTGCAAAGCAATCTACATGCAGCAGCTCGGAGGTTTTATTAAAGACAACAGTCATAACTCTAGAGGTGCTTGTGCGTCCTTGGTGAGGGTGGTGGAGAGCATCACAATGCTAACTAGAAGGTTTGGGGGGGCGGGGGGGAGTAAATAATCCATTTTGAGGTTCAAAAACAAGGATCCTTTTTCATTTCATAGATGCTTAAGACTGGACTTGACTTTGGAGGCCAAGCAAGCAAGGAAGGGAGGCCGCTGTACTGGAAGCCAGCAATAAAAATACAAGGGCACCTCTCATTGAGCCGAAACCCCCAGAGGTCAAGGGAGTGCTTTGGTAGACACGAGTCAACGTTTCACTCTAGTCCCATCAGCTGAACTGCAAAAATCAAAATAGCAAGACACCAAGCTGTGCTGCTGGGCTGGGACCCAGAGCCAGGCGGTGACCAGGCAAGTGCAAAGGGAAATGGATCAGGATCGGGTTCCTCTGTGCGAAGCACCGGAGAGAGGAAACAGACCCTGCCATGGCCGATAACCGGGCCCCAGCCACAGCGGGGACAACTCTCAGGCAGTTTTGCTGACCATCCCTTTCTTTTAACAAGGGGTTGGAAAATAAGTCAGTGAAAGGGAAGAACAAGCAGCGGCAGGGGTGCAGCATCAAGGAACCAGAGCAACAGGAGGGAGGAAAGGAGCAGGGCTCCTGCACTGCAGCCACCTCAGATCCTCACTAGTCCCCAGTGCCTTCTCCGCCGCCTGATGCCCTGGGATGCAGGGGGTGCCGATTAGGGGCAACGGTGCCTTGCCCTGGACACTTGCTCAGCACCACCCTGGCACCAGCACCCCCGCTGCCCAAGGGGCTCCACAGCTGTGGGGCAAAGAGAGGCGGGGAAGGTGCTGAGGGAGGGCCACACTCCTGGAGGCAGCCCCAGGGCTGAGGGGCCCCTTACACCTGCCCTCGGCCCAGCCCCGCCTCACCCGCACGCCCTGCAGCACCCGCACGCGCTCCTGCTCGTCCAGCTCGAACGAGACCTTCCTGCCGCCCGCGCTGCTCTCGCTGCCGCCCATCCCGGGGCGGGCTAGGGGGTCCCGTCCCCTCCGAGCTCAGAACAAGCACCTCCAGCTGCCCTCGCCTCCACCCCTGCCAACAAGC